ATACGTCTGCTGTATTGTACATTTTAGTGTCTGTAAAAATGTAAATAAATGTACGTTTTGTAGAATCACATTTTACGTAAAATACATACGAATTCTCATGAGATCATGTTGAACTAACATAGTAATGTTTAATTTACAGCTCTGCTTATCTATGTTTACTGTTAAAGGTACACATACTGTTTTCCCACAGACAAAAATCCATGATGCCCTGATAAAAACGAACAAAGCTACACAGTGAAGCAGGTCAGACTGGCTGAACTGTGTGAAAGATTCTCCAAAAGCGTCAGTAACATAAGTTTAATTTGACCTGGCACAGATAATAAGATATTTCAGGCAGAAATGCCAGAGAAGTTTGTGCTTTATATCTGTAAAAGTCTTTTTTATACTTCCTCTCAAGGATGCCAATTGTTGGCAACTACAACATTTCTACTAAAAAGTTGTTTTTTTAAGCACAGCAAATGGCCTGTTCAAACATGACTAGAACCCACTTGTTAATTAACAGACTGTTTCCTTTTATTAATCAGTAGATATGCATGTTAAGTGTTCAATCTGAATCAAATCTGACAGAGTTACGCTGGGAGAACGCCTACGATGAACCTCTAGATTTTAAGTGCCCCTCAGGACAGTCAATATCCTATATAAAAAGGTGAGTAGAAAGCAGAATGTACTTCGGTAATGGTAGAGATACTGTCAAAATATTACTAATTTAAATATAAAGGGCCAAAAACACATATCATGTCCAAACAAGTTTACGCTGAAATGCACGTTATTGGTCATAAAATATAATACATTTAGCTTGCAACTCTTAAAAAATGAGAAAAAAAATTTCAAAGTATCATATTTAGTTTGGAAATGAGCAAAAATTCAATTTCAATATACTTGAGTAAGGTATGAATCCTAAAAACAATGCTTTTGTATTATTAATGAAATACAATACATATGTACGTATATGGGTCAAAGACAAAAAAGGGTTTAAGCATAAAAACAATGTGTAATACTGCTTTAAATTGTTGTTGTTTTTCCCCAAAAAATGTAAAATAAATTCTGTTTAATTTAACTGCAATATTGTTTTTGTTTTTCCAAGAAAAAAAAAAAAAATCATACATTTTCCCCTGATTTACAGAAGACACCCACTAAAATGTCATTCAGTGTAACAATCTTGTCAGGCATATTTACAACAAAAATCAATTTATGACATATTAAAAGACTAATTACTTTCACCCCAAATACTAATTAGTTGTAATTTTACATTTTTTAAATTTGCCACTATCCTAGGTTTTGCCCACTTGTCAGTAAGTATTGTTTACTCATTTAAAACACAATAGAATTTAATATGCTCCCTTATTCTTTTATATATTTTAATATGTACACGTCAGAATAAGCATGTTGTTTGAATTTTTACATAAATATTGTGTTACACTGAATGACAATGTAACATTATTTCAACCAAATTTTGACATTTTATTCTCCAAAAACTTATTTGAAACCTTAAAAGTAGACACTTTACTTACATTCAATGTGCTTTCTATGGACATAAAATCACTTTTGTAAATTTCTTTTGATGCAGACATCTTAGCGTCTTTGACCCATATACAATCAGAATGTCATGTTATGATAATTCAGCTGTATTATTACACTGTTTCCCTGCTTAACGAAACCAAAGCCAACATCACAATCATCACGAGGACCGAATGTGGGAGTTCGGCTGTAAAGACACCTTTGACTCTGGTTCAGACTGCTTCTTGTCACCTAATGTCAATGATTTTGACCAAAAATTCACCTTTGAGTGTCCGCCACACCACATCATTACAGGAATGAGCAGCTACCACAACAACAAGCACGAGGACAGATGGTGAGCTCTTATTTTGCACTGATTTTGTGCGAGTTCGCCCGAGCCGATGTCATTACTGTTTTCACACAGGTGGCAGTTTTACTGCTGTAGAAGTAACGACCACTGTACTGCTGACTGTGAGTGGACTACTTATGTGAACTGCTTTGATGAGTATTTCCATTGGACAGTACCAAACCATAACTACCTGGTGGGTGCTGAAAGCTACCATGAAAACAAACACGAGTAAGTACAGCTCCCCAAAATAATTCGACATACTCATAAACAGGCTTCATATGTGACCCTGGACCACAAAACCAGTCATAAGGGTCAATTTCTCGAAATTGAGATTTATACATCATCTGAAAGCTGAATAAATAAGCTTTCCATTGATGTATGGTTTGTTAGGATAGGACAATATTTGGCCGAGATACAACTATTTGAAAATCTGGAATCTGAGGGTGCAATAAAATAATTAGTGTTTGAACCATATCTTTTTTTCAGTTAGAGACTGTAGATACAAAAACTCTGAGACCACTTTTTAAATTTGACATCTGTACAAAAGATTTACATTTTTTTCACAAAGGATTTGCAATTGATAATAATGAACATAATGCCATTGATATGACAACTGAATACAATACAACAAAATGTTAATGCCATGATTTCACTATTCATAAGGATTCATTTGTAAGTCTGTAAAGTTGTTCATACATAAATAATTTACATTTTAGGTGTCATCAATATGTCAGTATTGTATGTTTAAATGGTGTAAATACGTCTGCTGTATTGTACATTTTTGTGTCTGTAAAAATGTAAATAAATGTACGTTTTGTAGAATCACAGATAAGATATTTCAGGCAGAAATGCCAGAGAAGTTTGTGCTTTATATCTGTAAAAGTCTTTTTTATACTTCCTCTCAAGGATGCCAATTGTTGGCAACTACAACATTTCTACTAAAAAGTTGTTGTTTTTTAAGCACAGCAAATGGCCTGTTCAAACATGACTAGAGCCCACTTGTTAATTAACAGACTGTTTCCTTTTATTAATCAGTAGATATGCTTGTTAAGTGTTCAATCTGAATCAAATCTGACAGAGTTACGCTGGGAGAACGCCTACGATGAACCTCTAGATTTTAAGTGCCCCTCAGGACAGTCAATATCCTATATAAAAAGGTGAGTAGAACGCAGACTGTACTTCGGTAATGGTAGAGATACTGTCAAAATATTACTAATTTAAATATAAAGGGCTAAAAACACATATCGTGTCCAAACAAGTTTACACTGACGCAAGATGAAAACAAAACTGCGGCTGATTTGTTATCACAGCAATTTTTGTTGCAAATTAGTCACAGTGGTGTGTCGACAAAACATGTGCTGTCATTATGACGAAAACAAATTAAGTTATAAGTGAAACAAAGTTTATATTATAATAATTATCTGTCAATATAATACATTTGAGCACAATGGAAATGTAGAGCACATTTTAAAAATCTAAAGTAGGCTTGCTACAATCTGAACTTAACATTTTCTTAAAATTTTACTAATTTTATGATTATGGCATTTTCCATCATTTTGAGTCACTTTGACCCAGAAGTACATTTTAAAGTTTTATGCACTAAATAAATAAATAAAAGTTTTTAAATCAATTTTTGAGAGAGTAATTTAAAAGGTTTAAAAATGTTTAAAAAGGCTATAAAAATGTAAAATGTATTTATAATTTTATAGAGGTGCTTTCCATTTTTGTAGATAATTAACTAAATAAAAATAACAAACTTAAGACTTTATTGGGCTATGCAATGCCACTGAAAACAAAAGTGACACATTTCATAGAAAAAACTAACTGTATAAATGATGTAAACGACAAAAAATAAACTGCATTATGTTTATAAGAATAATAATAATTGCATTAATTTAAATTACAGGTATTTTAAGACTAGATTTAGATTTTTAAAAATGTACTGTAAGGGAATGCCAATGGTTTTAACTGGTATTTTGATATTACATTATGAGCTCAACATTTTATTACATTCTGAGAACATTTTTACATTATGAACATTTTATTACATTAATGTTAATACTTATTACATTATGTGCAGTTTTCTGAGTATGAATGTGTGCTTTTGAGTAGAAAATTAACTCCAGATGTCACAAAACAGCAAGTTACTAAACCTAACAAGAAAAGCAATGATAAAACAGTGTTCATACAGCTGGAAAAACAGCGGGAAAAGCAACTTTATTAATTATTCATGCCCCAGTGCATGATGGGAACGTAAGTATCAGAAAGTAGAGTAGGTTTTTTTCTAACGCTGATATTAACGTTTTAATTTCTACAAGCTTAAATTGAGTACTAACATAGAATTTAATTTTTTTTTTAATTCTTGCCTGTACTAACTTTTTCATGTAAATTACTTTTTTTTTGTAGTAGTATTTATTTCACCACACAATAATTTTTACACCCCCAATGTGCTGGAATGAATTTCAATATTGTGAAAAACTTAGGTTTTTTTTTGGCCAGTGTTTGGCCAATGGCACATTTTTAGAGGTTAATTATGATTTAATTTATGATTTGTGATTTAATCCAATGATTTCAGCCTATTGACACATGCACACACACACACACACACACACACACACACAAACACAAGCCATCTTTTTTTAATTTAACGCAGAGATCAGCCGCAGTGTATGTTTTCAACTTGCATTTATTTCAGAGGATCATGAGAGAACATTCATCATGAACTGTGAGAGAATATTGAATCTTGGAATCAACATCTGCGTTGGGAACAGACCTTGAACCGAAATCGTCGATCCCTGAAAGAAGTACAACACATTAGTGAACAGCAGAGCTCACAATCTGACATGTTCGACTTGAAATGGCTTTGCATATTAGTCATTAGAAATAACATAAATTCTACCCACTCTTCACGATTTTGATGGTAGCTTTGAGTGCCCACCAGAACGTTCCGGGAAGGCACAGTCCAGTGGAAGTACTCATCAAAGGAGTTCACGTACGAGGTCCAATGACAGTTTGCAGAAATACAATTACTTCTACAGCAGTTAAACCGCCAGCTGTGTGAAAACATGGTATTGGCATCAGCTCAGAGGAGTTCAAGAGAGTTCAAGTTTAAAGATGAGAATCAGTCAAACATCAGAGCTCACCGTCTGTCCTCATGGTGGTTGCTGTGGTAGCTGCTCATCCCTGCAATCACGTGTTGTGCTGGACACTCAAAGAAGATCACTTGGTCGAAGTCATTGACGTAACTTGTCCAGAAACAACTCTCACTCTGGCCGTTGTTGGCTTGACAGCCAAAGTCCCAAACCCGGTCCTCATAGTGATTGTGGTGTTGGCTTTGTTAACATAAATTGGAATGGAGAAATTTGTATTTATTTATTTTTTTTAAAAAAGCAAAATTGCATTGATATTTACATCTAAATTTGAAATGTTAAGGAGTTTTCAAGCGATATATTATGTTCTTCCATGGCAAAGTTAAAACTGACATTCACAGCCATCCCAAATCTCCTCATACTGACAGCGGCTCCCAGATGCCCGCAAATTATATACAATATCCTGGAAATCGAGCAAGGTGGGAGGAAAGCCCTAGAGTATTAAACAGCATTTTTGGTGATTCAGTTAGAAGTTTATTGTTTCCACTTGGTATACATGTGTTTTGAATGCTTCTCCTTTGACAGCTTCAGTTCGGAATTCGTCATGCTAAATCATTTTTTTGCGGTAATTCACATGAAAACAGCATGATTCAAGGAAGCCTTGACAGTTTATTATAATTATTTATTTATGATTTAACGCCATGTCAGCAGCAATGGTTATATTCATGGCAAAAACAATTCAATTGCATCACTCAATCGATATCCATTCAATATAATGTTTACAATAATTTAACAATTTTGTCTTAAAAAGTCTGATAGTTTATTATATGTTTATAATCGCTCAATACACATTCATAAGCGGTACTCACCTGGTTATGGAGGATATTGACTGGCCTGCAGGACATTTAAAGTTTAGAACCCCATCATACACGTTCTGCCAGCCTGTGTAGAGAGAGATATCAAAGCAAATTCAGCTTGGAATATATTCAAATATTAAATAACACAAAAAGAAATGCTGCAGGTGAGGCAGTTCAAAAGGACCAATAGAAAATGCTACTGAAGTCACTCACCTCGTGCACGGCCCAACAGTCCAGTCAGCAGCAGAAACAGAGCAACTGTCTTCATAGTGTTCAGGGATGCAATTGCGATTTGTGGTGTTTATCTAAGCTGTTGCTGCACAAACACTTTTGACAGTGCTCGTCCTGAGTGCGTTCTTTTAAATGATTTATCACATGACTAAATCCAGCAGTGGCCAATCACGAGTCCGAGTCAAAACAGGAAAACTTCACAGGCCAGTGAAATCAAAATATTTATTTTGTGTTATGTGATTTAATGGTATTTTACATATTTGTATTTGGTGTTATCAGTATATGACTTACTTGAAAACACAAATTTCTTTATTCAAAGACCTTTCTCTGATAGTTAGGGTTAGTTTAGTTTAGTTTTTTTTAAGCCAAATGAAACTTGCTGAGTACACCTTTAAATCATAAAATGATATACAGTATATTTGATTCTTTCACAATTAATTACTACTGATGTGTAATTGTCTCACCTTGTGAATTTGCATCTGCATGTGTCGACATTATACATGATGTGCTGGTATTACCTTATGAATTGTGATACCATTATAAATTGCTGCAGTGTGTTCATAATAGAATACATTTCTCATATACTGCCTTATTACATTATGTGAAAAATTGTCATTGAAAAATCATTATTACACTATGAGCTCAAGATTTTATTACATTTTGAGAAAATTAATACATTATGTAATGAGGATTAGGACTGGCTAGCTAACCAAACTCTCAAAAAAAAAAAAAAAATGCTGTCATAATAATGGAAGTAATAATGGAAACTGGGCATAGATGTATGGAAGCTTGCTTCCGCCATGGAATAATAAAAAAAAAAATAAAAAAAAGATAATTGATAATTAAATATAATTGCATTCTCTTATCTAACAGATTTTTTTCTCAGAATTGCGAGATATAAACTCACAATTCTGAAATTTTTTTCTATACTCTATACTTTTTTATTCATAAAGTCAGAATTGTGAGACTCGTATTTGCAAGAAAATGTCAGACAAGTGAGCTGACTTTTTTCACCTCAGAATTGGACTTGATAACTCACTATTGCAAGTTTATATCTCACAATTCTGAGAAAAAAACTTGAAACTGCGAG